TACGTAGACTAATACATTGGGATTTTTGTCTTATATATATTTGATCATAAATTCTGAGAAAATATGCCTCTGCTTGAAGTTGTGCTTGGGTTCTCGCATACTGAAACTGATTTCACAACCAATCATCCAGGTGGCGATGTGGTATTTACTAATGGACAAGTTGGATAAAAGAAAATGAAATAATCGAGATTTCTGTGTCCATCTTGAGCCCACTTGTCGAAGTAAATCTTATCGTCAGCCTTGCGTGAACATAAAGATTCCATGTGACAACACTGATCGTGATAATCATCCGATAACGATAGCGCTACCAGTAATACTAGTAATGGAAGCAATTTCAGTGATGACAGCCTTGAGACTCAGAAGACAATGCTCATGAATTTTACTGCTCAAATGAACAAAATACATTGCTGAACTCTTAAGTAATTGCCTTAAATATTATTGAATTGCGTTCACATAATCAAATGCGCATAATTTCTATAATTAGCAAGTACTTCGTGCAAAAATCTTTTCTGTTATCCATTCCCAACACGATTTCGGACTGAATCAGGTCAAATGAACAGAGAGAGAGAGAAGGGCAGATGATAGTGATGTCTTTTTAAGTGGTCTTAGTTATTGCTTGGAATGACACCTTTATAACCGTATAAGCGGCTTACAGCCTATTTGCATCTGCCGATTAGTGACATTTTAACGTGTACATTTACGAAATACATTCAGCTTTTGTGAGGTTATGTAATTGAACATAGAGCACTAACACTTTAAAATAATCTTAACTGATACTGCGAGTCAACGATGATCTCTTGACGATATACCTGCTTGTTCAGACGATTACCTTCATTGAACGTTCGTTACCTTTTGTTCGAATGAACTCCAAACACCATATTAATTAGCATGGTTGATTGGGTGAGGGCAAAAACATTGATGGGGAGCGGTAAAGAAGCATTGAAATAGAATCGAAATTCAAAAACATTTCATTCAAACATTCAAAACAGCAAATAACTGATTCTGCCCAGTCATATTTTGGTACTGAACATTGCGATTCTTCTCATTTGTTACGAGTAATTGAAGAACTCTCAGCTGAGAGCATCACATCAGGAATGAGCCTAGGTAGATGCAGCTTATTGTAAAGTTTCTATGCTGCGCATCAATGTTGAATGAATGAATCTCTAACACTTAACTTCTTCATATGATATTCTTCATAAGATTTATATATAAATCTCTGAGGCCACTCAAAGAACCGTTAAGTTGGAGCATGTTTTCCAAAACTATCGAATGTTGCTGATTGCACTGAAAAGACCTAATTGTGAAGCGATATTATTCGATGGTAGCAATGAAGTTTATGCTAGTGATGAATTTTTGTGATTGCTGATCAATTAGATATCAAGTCAATCAATCAAGCTAAGTTCAGTCATGAAAATTTCAAAATTTCAGATTGTTCAGTGCGAAGTGTGCTCGATGCGGTATAGCATTACAGCCGACCGACTTCGTGTTCCGTTGTTTGAATAGTACATATCATGCACAGTGTTTTTCATGTGTCTATTGTAATCATCCATTGAAAAAAGGCGATCAATATCTGCTGATTGACGGTCAAGTGATTTGCAGAGCTGATTATGAATTGTTACTTTGCAATCAACCCATAGCGCATGGTTGGCTTTTCATCGATTTATCATATAGTTATCATGAGTGAAATTAATTGTTTGAATATTTGTGAATCACTTCGATATTTCAACTGAAGCTTGATTATTACGCCCAGTTAACAATAAGAGACTTTGACGTTTGATAGTAAAACCCTCAAGAAACCTTTAAAACTGATAACGTTTAGCAATAAAAGACTATATTTTGACGTTTCAATATCAAAAACTTGTGGAAAACAAAGCTGTCAAAAAATTTCAGCTTATTTCGATCTTGAACAAAACGATGCGAATCGAAAAACGCCAAAACGTCCACGAACAATTCTCAACACACAACAACGGAGGGCCTTCAAACTGGCGTTTGAGAAAAGCGCAAAACCATGTCGTAAAGTACGTGAGCAGCTCGCCAAAGAGACCGGTTTGAGTGTTCGAGTGGTGCAAGTCTGGTTTCAGAATCAACGAGCTAAGGTTCAAAAGTTGTTGATTTTATCGCGAAGACAAATCACCCGATTCCAGACACACCTATTCAATGAATCTATCCCATCATTTAGCTATAATCCGGCGTTCCTATGAAAACTGAATTGTGCACTTGATCGAAAGTAATTACAAGAAATACATCGCATCTAGTGGAATGTATCGAAAATGTTCGAAACAATTGTGAGGGCAAAGGAAAGGAAATCTCTCTCATACAATCATAAGCATAAAGTCAATTGATGTTCTTCGCGTTTCGCGGAATGATCTCAAAATGCTTTCATAAATTTCAGATGAAGAAAATCCATCGGAAGCAAGAGGTGACAAAGATGAGCAACGGTGCTGCCACTTCATCAGAAGGCGACACAAAATCGTTGGATGATTCGAAATCGAATTGCGATGACTCCGATGATGGTAATTTCTTGTTTTCGTGCGGTTCGTTTCAGCATGTGCATTCTTGAATGTCATCAGATCAGATGTCATCAGTTCGACAAAATTTCCGTTGAAATCTGTAGTTTTTACTTCGGTATTTCTCCTTCACCATACCTCACAGAACATCTTTCTAGTTTTACTTGGATTACCTGGATTGGCCAGGCTATCAAACGTTTATAACGT